GTAACATGCAAAGCAAACAGCATTACTGGATTTATTGTGTCTGTGCTGCTCCAAGAACTTGTAACAAACTAGAAATATTCTGTGCATTTGAAAAGTCTCTTCTTAAATCTTCTTTGGCTATGTCAGCTAGCCAATGATTACTAGCACCACAAGCAAAACTGTCAACTTTATACACATGTGTCCTGAAAGTAAAAAAAAGGAAGAAAGGTAAAATCAAAATGGTTTTACTTACTGATGACAAACACTAATTTTTAATTGCTATGTGAAGAGTTACTAGAAAGTTCATTCGTTTGGGCTGCAAAGCAAATGCAAAATTACTAAGTTAAAAACAGTGGATAAACTTCCACAAGGACAGTTTAGTAGCTATAGCAACAATTACATCATTTATCTCTCTTAGATAAATGGTAGCCAAATTAGACTCATTTAAAGTATAGTCAAAAGTCAACGAAAATCCTTTGAACACTATGTGTGGAAAAGATGAAAGATTTACCAAGACCTGGTAAAGTTTATAAAGTTTCACAGATAATATTACATTGTTACTTTTATGTACTAGACATAAAAAGGTGTCTTTTAGGGTCTAAAAGCATGACTTATGAAGAGATCGTCGTAACACATATTGTACTATTTCTTAAACACCAGAGAGTCTAAAATCCAGTTAGCAAAAGCAGCATACAAAACAGGCCAATCATCTCATCCCGCAAAGTGACACAGTAAAAGCATCCTATTGGGCCCTGTGATGGGTCATCACTCATGGTCTCCCACGTTAGTGCCCTTAAACCATCTAATCGGCGTAACAGAGTACAAACACAAGATGAGATGATGAGCACACCCTTGGCGGGTCAAGAACTGACAACACATATCAAGGTGATGTCGTGCAACGTTAGTGGACAAAGAAAAGCAGTTCTGCGCGGAGACTTAGGACGCGATTACCCACTAAGAGTCTGCAGAAACCCTAAGCCAGCTGTCTTGAGAGATATTTTGAAGGATACAGAAATGTGGTTTTCTTAAATCATATATACCTTTTTCAATTTATCAGAAGATGTTATTTCTGAGGTAGCATCAGACTCATTTAAGTTATGACATATAACATTGGATTCTTTGTTCTCATATGTCTCATATTGGCTGGACAGTAAAGAGGGAGAAAAACTAACTGAATTATATATAATTTAAATTCCAATCAAATAGGAAAATAAAGCATTTGCTTACACTCCCATACTTACATTAAAATGTCATAAAAATCCAATACTACTGAGTAATACAAAGGATGGGGTTACATTATCATTTTTACTTTACCCTACCTTAAACTCAAATTTTAATTATATATATATATAATCACTATGAATTAATTATCAGGTATAAAGTTAACTCTTACCCTTAACATCTTAGACTTCCTAAGTAGGACAAGTAGACTTCGCAGGAATTTTCCTGTTTCAGAAACTAATCAGTTAAATTTACTCCACAATCTTAAAGTCCAATTCAAAAAAATACTCACATCTTCTTTGTGCCAGCACTTTTTATCTTCTTAAAAATACCATGGCAAAGTATTTCAACAAAGGATACGTGGAAAGTGACACAGGTCAAAAGGGACTGATACACTCACTGGGCGGCCTCCTCCTGACCACGGAGTCCCAGAGCACAGGCTTTGGTGAACTGAAAATACGCTGCACATTAATAACTTAAAAATGTGCTGAATAAATAGCATACCAATGCTAGAAATCTGGGACAAGAAACTACAGAAGAGTGAGGGTCAAAAAAACTTTAGAGTTTTTATTTATCTTTTTAAAACAGGATTTTACTATGCAGTTCAGGCTGGCCTTGAACTTACTTCACAGCCCTAGCTGGCCTTGAATTTGCAGTGATTCTTCTGCCTCAGCCTCCTGAGGGCTGGGATTACAGGCCTGAGCCACGTGCCCAGATTTTCAGAGTAATTTTGATGAGGAATCTACCCTAAGTTTACCCAGGTTTTGCTAGGTTCAACCCACATTTCTTAAAAAGTCTGAAAGAGTCACATCTCACTGTATTTGCTGTTGTAGTATCTAGAATATTTTATTGCTATCAAACAAATATCTGGGAAAGTGATTAACTTTCCCCATCACCCACCTGAAGACATAATGGTCCAATATTTTCTATCAAGACAGTCATTTAGCAATTTAAAACTCTCAAAACACATATAACAGTTTAAATACTACTGTTAATTTAAGGAAAAAGAAAAATGTTATGGAGGGTAAAAAGAAGATAACTTGCACAAGCCAGCAAATCAAAATAAGCAATTCAGTGATAGCATTAAAATGAAGTTATTAATGAAAAAAATGAACAGGCACTGGGCAGCTTAGGAAGAGTTCAAGCTGTTTATGTGCATTCTACAACTAGGTTTCTGAACAATAAAATCTCCAAAACCAGCCCCATGTAAATCATCCAGAGCCAATCATGGTATTTGTATTTCATTTTAGGCTCAATAGAGATTAGACATTCAAATGATCCTTCTTTCCTTGTTGCTATCTTCACACCCAGGTGTGTACTATGAGCAAAGCAACATTTTCACCTCTTTACACGTGACAATTTGTATAATCCCATGAGCAGACATTTTCCCCATGTTACAAATGAAGAAACTGAGGCCCAGAGAAGTTAAGCTGGCCATAGCCCACGGCTCATACACAGCAGGCCTAGAAATCAAGCTGAGCTGTCAAACTCCAGAGCTTCCATTCTTAATCTTAAGATTGGTATCAACAGATACAAAGCAGAAGAACACATACTCAGAGGCACTGTGACCATGTTAGAGAAGTTGTCTTTTCCTAGATTTCTTTGTTTCTGTACAATGCACAGGCATTATCGTAAGTAGAGAAAAAAAGAATTGATTCATAGATGAGAAAGTGAGACTTTGGTTTTCCAATTACTTTTTGGGGGGAAATACGGTTATTATCTTTGATTATACTGAGAAGAAAAATGAGGAGGTAAAAATAGTGAAGAGGAGGAAAGGGAAGCAGAAGAGGGAGGAGGAGGAGGAAGAAGAAAGCACTGCCACTGCCACAGTCCGTTCTTCCAGAGTAGTGTTAGGACTGCAGCCCAGAAGGAATGAAGAGCCGGCCACCCGGCAGGGAGGAAACACAGCCAAGCTGAGACAGTCACCTAGTGACGCGGTATCAAGTTGCATTGGGAAAAAAAGCCAAGAATAAAGTTTTCAAAATCATCAGAATTTCTGCTCACCCTGATGTTCGATGGATCCACCAATATACGCCTAAACCTAGACTACAAACTATTACTGGAACACCAACACCAACTCCTTGAGGGAGACAAAATTCAGTAGCACAGTTAATAGCAGTATAAGCAGTGACATTTGATCATGTGGTTTCACAATGACAGACATGGCAATGACAAAGCATGTTAAGAAAAAAACCAGGAACACGTTCTGCAGTGTCCTCATGTCACTAGTCCGACACTGACCAAGTATGTATTATCAGCCCTGTTACCTTTGAAAGAAAAAGAAATAAATGTTGAAAATAATTCAGATCTCAAATACATATTTTCGACAGGCTTGAAAGGACCCTAAACGTTCATTCCCACGCAATCACACTCCATTTCGAACGTTAAATGTGACGACTGCATTATGTGACTTCAGGGATAAAGGTGTATTTGAGTTCATGCTAATTTTGTAGCTGAATGAAGCCTCAGAAAGTAAAATTTACTATATGCAAGAGGGGCATCTGCTTAGTTTAGAGTGGAGTCAGCCCAGGCCTCTGCAGGACAGATGCTGCATGGAAAGACTAAAAGCAAATTATACTCACTACACCTACCTGGCATGCTCCTCAGCACTCAGTCCATGACAGGTTTCATGTAGGAAACCTGGACCTATTTCTGAGCTTAAAAAGTGTGATTATGAGCTTAACAGCAGCGAATAGTCAGAGAAATTATCAACCGCAAATCACCTCTATAAAAGCTCTGCTTTTTTACAATCTCTTCCTAAAACCCCCCATCTGTACTTGCCTCTCCCATCTCCATTCTCTAAGTTCTTCCCCCACCTGATCCTTCAGTGTTCCTGGACTCCACTCTTAGGTCTGTGCTTCAAAGGAAATTACAGATGACACTAAAAACTCAACTGAAGCTAATGTGTCAAGTGAGTGTTTCTGGTTCCAAATCAGCAAAATACAAATGCTCAGATTTTTTTTTTTTTTTTTTTTTTTCTGTTTGAGACAAAGTTTCACCATGCAGTTTAGGCTGGCCTTGAACTCAAAACTTTGTAGCCCAGTGCCTGGCCTCAAATTCACAGCAATCCTCCTGCCTCAGCCTCCCAAGTGCTGGGATTACAGGAATGCACCACCACAGAGTTTTTAAAAACCAGCAATTTCCACAAGAGATACACCTTGCAGTATTCTCCCTAGTCGATGTTCTTAACTGATATCCTTAGACTGTACCATTAGCTCAGAAAGACTATCTATAAAACAAATTGTAACTTAGCCCTACCTCCAATTTTGAGTTTTTCTCAGTTTCTAGTAACTCTACCATTTTAACATTGCATTTGGAATTGAAATGAAAACAGAAAATGTAGAAGCGATCTAGATGTCAAACACGAAAGTCAATTCCCACATTCCATGTGTTAGGGGCAACCCGAGAAGTCGAAGATTAAGTCTCGTTCTTGATCATAATCATACTTGATACAGCAACAGGACAAAGAACCTGTGGACAAATGAGGTCACACTAGAAAGAGACTTGCAGAGAGAAGATAAATGTGCTCACTAGAACTTAAATTTTCAGATGTGTAATGCAGATGCAACATGCCCTCCCCAAAGCCACGTCCATAGAATGCTTGAAGGGTTCTCCCGTGGTCACTGGATTCTGTCTCTGCATTTCAATTTTTGTTTTAAATAAAGGAAATTCAAAAAGACAACGTATCACAGAAAACTTGATTATATGACTTCTTCACTCTGAAAAGCAGGTGTTTCTTGGTTGCATTATAGTGACGTATAAATATGGCACACATAGAATATAAACTGAGACAGTGACAATGCTTGTATTAGCACCCTATTCATTTTAAACAAATACTTTAGTCAAGACTCTTGCAAGCACAGTTATACTGAGACTACTTGCAATATATATCACATTCAAGTAGATATATAAAGGATAAATAAGGATATAGACGATAAAGGATACAGAAGGAACATTGTATGTACTTCACCATGTATTCTCTTTGTCACGTTCTTTCAATTGACCCATAAAGGACTTATGAATGTCACAATACAGAATTTCAGAAATGCATGAGAAAAGTAAAATAATAGTAGTAGAGCAGCTGGCTCCCTCAACTGTTTAGTTTGAATCATATAGTCCTGGCCTGTCACTACTATGAGGACAGATCTTTAAAAAGTACCTGGTACTACACAAACTAGTCACTGCCGCTGTTTACTGCCTACCAGGCTCTGTAACCTTGGAAGGCAAACTGCAAATCATACAAAAACATGGTTTTATCCACTGAAAAATGTAAAATAAATGCTAGTATTATAAGATTGCTTTGACAAGCAACAAAATAACATGTACAAAAATCTCAGAATAGTATTTGCATGCAAACATGAACTGAATGGAAAACTCTGCTTTCCTTCGGTGTAGACAGAGGAAATGATATGATGGTCAGAGATCCACCTAAGGGAAATAAGAGTTACTACATGATTTGACTCTTGAAAGACCACATTCCTCCAACTTCTGACACTGGCAGTGAATTCTCATATCCATTAGGACAGAGAGAGCCAAAGACTTTACATAAAAATAGTAGCCAGGCGTGGTGGCTCACGCCTGTAATCCCAGCACTTGGGAAACTGAGATGGGAGCACTGTTGGGTCTGAGGCCAGTCTGGACTGCACAATAAGTTCAAAGCCAGCCCAAACTACACAGAGAAACCATGTCCCCAAAACAAAGCAAAACAAAACAAAAATCCTAATCTCCATCTCATATACAAGAAAACTGAGGAACGATCTTAATTACTCAGGTAAAATATTTGCTAAATAAAAACAGATTCAAACCAGTATCTGCCTGCAAATTACCTATTTTCTTCTTATAATCTTTAGAAACTATAAAACTTAAATTATTTAGAACATGTATTTTCAGTAGTAGTAATAGTCCATAGATAGATAGACAGACAGATAGATAAACACATAGTGAGACAGGGAGAGAGACACAGATAGAGATAGAGGAATTAATATATAGTACATAGGTGGAATTAAAACTTCATGGGGAGACGATTAGGAGAAAAAATGTCTAGATAGGTCCTTAGCAGAAAGAGAGAATTAAAAAAAGAGAAACATCAGTACACAGTCAGAGGAAGGGTAACTTTAAAATGCAAAACACCAATGTCATTTACAAGGTAAACTGGGAAATTCTGTGACATCTGTCAGTCCTTCTTAGTGGAATTAAAAAATGGGGGGAGTCAAGCATTCGCCACATTCTAATATCATCCACATCCTTCAGGTACACTGCAGTATATGTAATCAACAGGCCATTTCTGGCAGTATAATTTACTTATCTTTAAAGTGAGGTAATGACTTGATCCACATAATAAGTTTAAGAAGTAAAGATAATTTTAAAATTTGTGTAAGATTATAAAAAATGTTGCCATATATCTAATTTAGGAAGAAGCCCCTCTTTATTTTTTAGCATACACTGAGATTACAACAATCCTAGGAGAGTTTCCTAGGAAATAAAATATAGGTAATAAGCTTCAAAAATTTCAGCGAAAATAAGCTCTTCAAACCTTCAGTGACAACCATTGGGGAGTTGAGTAAAGCACTCTTAAACCCTTCATTTCTGTGAATGTTAAATCATTAAATCGTGAGTTTTTTTTTTATTTAGAATACATTTATTCCTACTTATAATATAGGTTAAACAGAGTGAATTCCAGTTGGTGGAATTGTTCATCATAAATTTTTTAACTTTAAAAATCTTTTAGCATTTAAAATGTAAAATAACCATTTATAAGTAACAATAGTAGTAATAATAACAAAATGTCTCAGATTTAATGTCCTTTGGCTGGTTCATGCATGCAAAAATGGGGAGCTTAACTGACAAATACATAATTCAAAAGTATAAACACTTCATCATAAAGTTGTATTTTCCACTGGACTTATCAGTATGCCAATTGAGCTGTATTTCTCCTTAACAAACATTTTTCTTAGCATCTTTTTTAGAAGTTTATTAATCTTGCTAATGTGTAACATAAAATAACATTTATGGACAAAACAAAATAATTAATTACTAGAACTGCAACACAGGTAAGTGCTTTGGGCCTCAGGTCTACAGCAAAAGAATATTATCTTTTCAAGATACTTTGCTTCAAATACCTAACAGAGAAGCAGGAAAGGGGAGGATGTGGTCAAAGGTAGAACTCTGTCTCAGGTAGGATAGGACAGAGGTCTAGAAATGGTCGTGAAGTTTACAGTTATGGAAAAACCCCTGAAGATTTCCAAACACTGTTTCACACCACGGTTCTTCAGTCCCTAGAATGACGCACTGAGACATCGGGCATTCAGCGCTACGTGGCGCCTCGGCCAGAGGACCTGAAGGTGCCCTAGAATTACCCTGGAGCAAGCACAGGGCCGGGAAACTGCAGAAACATACCGAGCACCTAGTGGTGTCCACAAAACACGCTGATAAGGCGCGTTCACCCCTTTCCACCCGGGTACCCATAGACACCGCATTCTGATAGTTCTCCTGAGGCAGTTAAAAGACAATATTCTCTTCCAGAAATATGGACTATATGTCTCACACTGATGGCAATTTCTTTCAACTGCCTGATGGCCTGACTTACCATATAAGAAAGTTCGGTAACCTAAAAGAAAAAAAGTAAAAAAGAAAGTTAAAAAGTTTAAAATTTTTAATAATTTGCTATTTGCTAATCTCTCTCTCTCTCCATATATATATATATATATATATATATATATAACTAAAGTGAGGGACAGTTCAAATGTAACTCAAATTTCTGTAACTTAAAGAAATTAAGAAATGTAAACACTTACACGTTACTAAACACACACCGTGCCTATGTCTATTTGAAAGACTCAACAACATAAATGACAGGTACTGAAAACAAAAACATCATGGAACTTTGATCTGTAACTTGATGGCAAGTTTGAATAATTTAAACAGTAAATAGTTGCTGATCCAATCCTACTATCAATAAATTACTAGAAATCTAAGTCCCTTTCAGTAGATTATAACCAAATTCAGAGTTACCATATCATCTTATTATTTACATTTCTCAATGACTATGACTGAGTCCAAAGCATTACTATGAAAAATGAGATCACTCAGTGTCAGTGTTAAGGGTCAAAGTTCTATCGCCACCATAGCCCATTGGGCCCACACACAAGAAATCTGAACAGTGTCCACTAACCTGAAGCCAGATCTTTCTCTTCAGATGCTGTTGTAGACTTTATGGTTGTCCTGGTATCAGGTCTGTTCCCAGCTGCTGTAATACGAGCAGAGGTGAACCTTTGTGTGACTGAGACACGTTTAGGAGTGGACTTTTGTCTTGCTGGAAGAGTCTGTGTGACTGAAGCTTTTACAGTGGTGAAAAGTGTTGGTGTGGTCTGTGTAGCAACAGCAGTACCCAGCATGGGATTCTGGGTGGCTAGTGGGATCACTGGAGATAAAACATTTGCTATGGGGGGTGTCTGAGCTGCGGCTGACTCTGTGGCTGAACTATTTGCTGTGGTAGGTTTCTGACTAGTTAGTGGGGTTTTTGTATCTGAAGTGTTGATTGTGATGGTTTTCTGAGGAACTGATAAGACTTCTGCATCTGGAATATTTACTGTGATGAATTTCTCAGGTGTTGGTTGGACTCTTGTTGCTGGAATATTTACCGTGGTGGGTTTCTGAGGTGTTGGTTGGACTCTTGTTGCTGGAATATTTACTGTGGTGGGTTTCTGAGGTGTTGGTTGGACTTTTGTTGCTGGAATATTTACTGTGGTGAGTTTCTGAGGTGTTGGTTGGACTCTTGTTGCTGAAATATTTACTGTGGTGAGTTTCTGAGGTGGTGGTTGGACTCTTGTTGCTGGAATATTTACTGTGGTGAGTTTCTCAGGTGTTGGTTGGACTCTTGTTGCTGAAATATTTACTGTGGTGAGTTTCTGAGGTGTTGGTTGGACTTTTGTTGCTGGAATATTTACTGTGGTGGGTTTCTGAGGTGTTGGTTGGACTCTTGTTGCTGGAATATTTACTGTGGCGAGTTTCTCAGGTGTTGGTTGGACTCTTGTTGCTGAAATATTTACTGTGGTGAGTTTCTGAGGTGTTGGTTGGACTTTTGTTGCTGGAATATTTACTGTGGTGGGTTTTTGAGGTGCTGGTGGGAGTTCTGTACCTGGAACGTTTACTGTGGTACTTTTCCAAGTTGTTGGGACTTCTGTACCTGGAACATTTACTGTGGTACTTCTCTGAGTTGTTGGGACTTTTGTACCTGGAACGTTTACTGTGGTACTTCTCTGAGTTGTTGGAACTTCCGGACCTGCAGTATTTACAGTGGTGGGTTTCTGAGTTGGTAGAGTGGTTGTTGTACCTGGTGCACTTGTGGTGGTAGGCTTCTGTGGTGGGATGACAGGAGGCGATTTTACTGTGGATGAATAATATTAAAGAACAAATGAGCTATATATTGCTGAACAAAGTTAAGCTTTCTTAGCCACTGCCTGCTCTGTGGCTATTCTCTTTGTCTATCCACAAGACTTAGATAAGATTTTTAGGAAACAAAGTCTTAGCTTGTATTTCCCAAGGAGTTGAAACACTACTCAGTTTTGCATTGGTATTAATTGTACCTACACTAGATTTAGCCCAACACGAAACAGATTTCTTAAACTCTTTTCTGTGTGAAAAAAAGGAAAGCAGAGTTGGAGTCAATAGTGCTTGCACCTTTGTTTTCTCTCCGAAAAGGTCCTTCTCTCTGTTCAAGATCATAAAACAGGATGCCAGCACTGGACTGATGTGATCACAGCAAAGTAGCTTTTTTCCCCCTGTGGTACCAGGAATTGAACTCAGGACCTTGCACTTACCAGGCAGGCACTGTGCTGCTGTGCTGTAGTTCTGGCCCCATGGTAGCTTTTTATTTTGAGACAGAGTCTCTCTATGCAGTTTAAACTGGCCTTGAGCTCACTTTGTAGCCTAGGCTGGTTTCGGACTCACAAGGATCCTCTTGCCTCAGCCTCACGAGTGCTGGGATTACAGGCAAGAGCCACCACACCCAGCTCTCCCATGGTAGCTTTTTGTCCTATGTTCTTCGGACATGTTAGTGAGGGAAATTGTTTCAGTTTTGAGGGAAAATAGCTATCTCTGCTTCTTGTTATTATCAACTTCATACACACTCGTTTAGTTCCTCTTTTCACTTCTGAGTGGATTTCAAAAAACATTCTGAGAATCACAAACCTAAGAGCACAGCCCTCAGAGGCTTTTTGCCTCAGGGTTACTTATCCAAAGGCCTCCAGAGGCCAGGAGGAAAATGCCTGGCTCTCCCTCAGGCTAGGTCTTTGGCAAATTCTTTAATCCTGCCAAGCTTTGCTTTTCTCATTTGTGAAACAAAAACACAGCACATTGAAGTAAATTGCTTTTGACTGGATTATACAACATATCCATGTATTAAAGTACCTCATTATACGTCATATATTAGTGTAATTATTGCGTCAGTAAAAAAAAATAGTAAAAATGTGGAACAGGAGACTGTGCAAAATGCATGACACTAAAATTAAGGGAAATACTTGGAACATTAGTTCACACAACGCCTGTCCCTGACACTGCAGCTTACATCTGCCAATATCACTACTGCCAGCCCCTGCACACGTATATTCCAGGCGTGCAGGCGGCATGCGTCATTTTTTCTGTTTCCTCTACCTACCCAATAACACAGTGCCTAGTAGGCACTCAGATATCACTGGGGCAAGCGGGGGTTTGTATAAGGAATTTTCATGTTAAAGGCCCTCTTACATAAAAATTCTTTATTCTACCAATTCTTATTTTTGATCCAGAGAACTTCTCATTACCATAGAGTCCATACAGTTAAATTTCCTGGGGACTGGTTTCTGGTATTTGTTGTCATTGATGTAGAGTTTAACTCCACTATGGTCCGACAGTATGCTCTGAAATAACATCAATCTTCTGAGCTCCGCATATGTTCAGCTTTGGTAAATGTTCCATGTACATTTGAAAGCATTTGCTCATCTGTTGTTATTGGGTTCAGACTCTTCTCTGTAAATATGACCTTAACTGTTCATCTGAGCTATAGTTTTAATGACTTTTTACTGCTTTTTCTATTATTGAAAAATTACGTTGAATTTGGTAGCTGGGGATTTAGCTCAGCGGCATAAGCACCTGCCCTGCAAGCAGGAGGTCATGAGTTCAATCCCCGGTACCGATAAAAAAAAAAAAAAAGAAAGAAAGAAAAATTACGTTGAATTCTCCAACTGTTCGTGTGTGTATGTCCATCTTTCTGTCCATTCTCTCTACATATCAGCTGAAGCTATTTTTTCAAGTGCATATAAATTCCAGATGATGAACTTCAGATTTCCTCAACTGAATCCTGTGTTATGAACTGTCTTGTGTTAAGCAAACACTGACATTAATATAGTAGCACGATTTTTCAGTAGTTTGCCCAGTTTATCTTTCTATTCTTTCTTTTCAACTATTCCATTATTCAACTGTGTTTACTGTGAACAATAATTAGGGTTTCTTTTTAAATCTAGTGCAACAGTCTTAAATTACACTTACTGTAATTACTGTCCCACATGAGTTTACATCAACCATTTCATTATTAGTTTTCAATCCCACCTGTTTTGTTTCATCTCCTTTCTCTGCCTTTTTGGTTCCCTTTAGGAATAAAGACTATCTTTCTTTAGTTAGCTTTTCGTATCTACATCCTTTTACTGTTTTTTTGTGGCAACCTTAGAGACAACAGTATCTTAGAGATCATAGTAGCTTAGCAATTAGCCCAGTGCTGGCAGACCTATGGCACACATGTCCCAGCTGGTCCACAGAGGTCCCCCTGTCAGCACATGACCCAAGTCACCCAAGCATTGTCCAGTAGCTGAGCACTCAGGTTCAACTGCAGTGTTAGCACTTTGCAAGAAGTAAGTGGATTTTTAGGTTGCAGTTTGGCCACTTGGTTTCTAAAGGTTCACCATCACAGTACTATAAATGAACTATGCAAATTAGGACTTTTACAACTTTTTCAGTAATGCTAACATACTGTAATTTGTAGAATGAATTTTCCTTCCTCCTGCCTTTTGCCTTATTGCTATTATAGGTTTTTATTCTGTATATAATTCAAGCCCTAGAAGACATGGCACTTTTCTGTTTTGTAAAGTCAGTACTCATTACCCTTGCAGATTTGTTCTCTACTTTTTTTGTTTTGTGAAAACAGGATTACAGTATTTTTATTCTACTTGAAAAATTTCCTTTAAGGTTGATGTCTGTTGGTGACAAGTTTTCTCAGTTTTTGTCTGACTACATCTTTATTTAACATTCTTTTCTTCAAGGATATCTCACTGGATATAGAATTTAGGCAAGCAGCAATTAAGAATTTGAAAGGTTTCTTTGTATTGTCATTTGTAAAAAGGTTCTATTAAAAATTCAAGTGATTAATTTTGTTGCTTTTATGATGGCTTTTTTATTTTGTTTTATTCTGTTTTGACTCTGTATAATTTTACCATTGCTTTGAATTCCCAAACTCTCTTTTGCTTTGAGGTATCTTTTATTTATTTATTTGTCTTTTTGAGACACATTCTCACTATGCAGTTCAGGCTGGCCTTGACCTTACTTTAAGTGGCGTTATTTTTAGTCTTGTTTAGAATACAGAGAACTTCTTGAATCTACTGCCTGATATATTTTAGCAGTTTTGAAAAATTCTCAGTCATCTTTTTGAATATTTCTTTCTCCCCTCCTTTGCTCTATTTTTCTATCCTCCTCCTTCCCCAATCCTCTCACTTCTTCCCTCTTTCTCCTTTCTCTCTTCTAACACATTAGAACCCTTTAACAAGTCTTAAATGTTTCTAGCGTATCTACATTTTATATTGTCTTTGCATGTATGCAGTGAGAATCTGATGAAAAACTGCTCCACAGAAAAATGCAAATATACATATATACCATATTTTCCATGCTTTTCTCAGCAAATTCATAGAATTGTTACACACATACACAGCTAAGGGTAAGAAGAAAGCAAAAACGTAACTATGCAAGCTGATTACCTCTGCAGGTAGGTGGTGGATCACTCCATTCCCCAACGTCATCTCTTACAATACAAGAAATGTGGCTTTTTCCAGTCAGGACGAAGCCTTTATTACATTCATATGTTACAACATGTCTATATTCGTAAGTGTCCTCTTCGTTTACAATCCTTCCATTCTCAATTTGTGGTGGTTCTGGACATATAATTTCTTAAAGAGAATTATAATATCCTTTAAATAAAGAAACTGTTGAGGTATACTTATAAACAAAACAGGATTAGAATAAGTTACAGATCTTTAAAAAATCAAATCTACCATTTTTCTCAATGTAGCATTATCAACAAGGGATGTTTACAAAGGTCTGTTTACAAAGGGTGGCATATTTAGAGCTTTGAATGTAAATGCTATTCCATATGAATGGTAACCTAGAAGCAAATTTACAGAAATAGGGTTTAGAACATGTATATAAAACAAAAATTACAATAAGGTTTGCATATAGTACATAGCAAAGTGTCACTAGAAAATCGTAAATGCTGCAGGACTTTGGAGGAGAAAGTGGGTGGCAGAAGACATGTTTAGGGGAAACTGGAACTTGACTTTAAACCTCAGCTGTAGTCTTCTGAGACAGACTGGAGGAGAGAGCACCTTCTCACTTGAGGGGAAAATTACTGACAAAAAAAGGAGTTGGGAATTCATGGGGTGTGCTTGAAATATAAATATGGATCATTTTTCAATGGCTAACAATACTGAAAAAAACCTTCAGTATCAGGACTGTATTGTCACTTGTAGGGTAGAGTATTTTCAAACATATTAATTCACAGAGGCTTTTATTCAAGATAAATCTTACTATGTAGTTGAATTTATAAAACAAACACAAGCTCTAGTTATATTCAAAAAAATAGTTGTTAGTAATTTTCCTAATAAAAAGTTTAGTGATTTCAAACTCTTTGAATCCATGTTTGTTTGTTTTTAAGGAGGAAAGAAACGTAATTACATGTAAGCATATAATTCAATTACACTGTAGGTACTTACATACTCACAGAATATTAGCAAATTGATGAAATACTTTAGGCTGTTACGCAGAGCTAGATCAAGACTTTCTCATAGCAAGTGAGTAGATACAGAAACTGTACACACTACCCTTTAGTTCAGTCCAAACATTTTCTGAACATCTAATAAACAGGCATTATTTTGCATATAAATAGAAATGTAGCTGAATAAGGTAGAGTTCTTACGTTTAAAATCTAGTGTGGTAAAAGATTCAAAGGGATCCAATTCAATCCAGAACACGAGGGTTACCACAGCAGTGAATGAGTGGTATGGAAAGAGAGGGGAAGGATGCTGGCCAACCTGTAAAACCTTCTGGAAGGACTCGGAGGGGCAAAAGGGTGGCCAAAGGACATTCTAGGTGGCAGTAGTGACATAATAATGTAGAGACACAAAAAAGTGTGAAGTACGCGAGCAGACTTAAGCAGCTTGGGTGGGTACAGCATAAACGTGAACTTGGAGAAGTAGACAGTGACTAGCTCCAAACACTGGACTCAGGAGTGTGGATTTTTAAGGAATGTGATACACTAACCAGCCTTAAGAACAAAACACCACCACACATCGGTGTTTCTGATACAATGGACAGAACCTCAGTGGAGTGGGAGAATACAGACAGTAGGCCACCACTGTGTCAGCCTAGGACCTGGTCACCCAAGATTCCCTCCTCAGCCCCTCACACTTTAAAGCCTGTGTCCTGGCCCTGTCTCTCCCATCAGTTGGGGAAGCTGTAGAGCAGAGGGGATATGCTCAACGACAGCCTCTCCTATACCCCTTTCTCCATTCTACAATGTTCTCTAGGAACTAGCCCCTGAGAGAATTCCTACATTAACACCCTTTCAGAGTTCCTTCACTGGCCTGTATTTGTGAGGTGGTCCTGACTGCTGGCATACACCCCTATGACCTATATGACTATGAAGCTTGGATAAGGGTCACTGGGGACCTGTCTCAGGCACATAAGCCATGTTGTACATTTATCTGTATAAGAAAAACCTCTGCAGTGTGGGAAGGGGAAGGATGGATCTTAAGCAGAGATTTCCGCTTGTATTCTAGGTTGGATCCTAAAAATGGCAGGGGTGGCTGTGGCTGTAACAGTCCAGCTGAGGGTTAACAAACCACGTTAGAAAGATGGAGCAGATGTGAAAAGTAGACAGAAGAGATAAAGCAAGATCACTTAGTGATTCACATGAAGAGTTAAAGAGAAAGTATAGAAGGAACTGGCTTCAGGCTAGCTTGTACTAGTTGGTTAACTAAAATTAATTTTGAAAAAGAAAACATCAGCAAAGAAATAGGAACACAGCTCTTCCTTCAGAGAAAGTGAGGCTTTCTCACTGAGGAGTCATTCAGGAAAAGTAGGACTTCTGCTGATTTACAGCTAAGGAGAATTCTAGAACGCGACGCTGCTCTTCCTTCTTCAGAGCCACATCTCTATCTCCACATCCACACATGGACACCGGTGACCTCATGAAAGGGCCACAGCCTGGAGCTGAATGCAGCAGCTCACTGTCTGAGAATTTACTTCCCACCTGACGCCTTTCGTACTGTCAACACAAAAAAGCTATGTGAAAAAAAAGACTCTAAAACTCCAAGTTTTATAAGGATAGCAGAAGACCCCAGACTGCTTAGGAAAAGGGCTGCTTCCTGCAAGACACAGATGTCAGTCGCTGCTGAGTCAGAAATGCCTCAGAGCCAAGAGGGAGATACAAACATCAGGGCTCTTAGACATGGACGGCATGAGGAAAAGGTGGCCTGCAGCGAAAAAGCTCTTCTGTGCTGGAACATATGCTGATGGCCACATCTCTGAGGAATTTGTGGCAGCAGTGGCTTGTGAAAACAATAGCCTCAGATGGAGAAGTTGCCTGTCTGCTTTGGTTCACGTTGCCTGGACTAGAAATATATTCACAGTATCTCGAGCCGTCAGTGAAAATGGGAATGGTGGTAATGGGTAGGAACGATGACAATTTAAAAACAGGGCTAAGGTGAAAAACAGAAGTGGCAGACAGAGAAGGGTGAGTACACGGGTGCATGACAGGAGGCAGGCCCCTGTGGGGTCAGGCTTTCTCTTGTCACACAGTCTGCCACACAGTGTGAGTCAACAAGTGCTTGATAAATGACACTAAGTCTACGTGTTTCTTGTTCCTAACAAACACAAAGAAATGAATTTAGTAATAGTTTTGACAAGAGGGTTTTTGGAAGTTGTTTACAGACGTACAAGCTGGGTGTACAGAGAAGGATGGAAGGAACAAAGCCCACATCATAAAAGGTCGTGGGCTAGCATATGGTTCATTGTTGTAGCATATGGTTCAATGACCAGCACCTAAAAATAAATAAAAATGTTCCATATTATTTTCCTCTCTCAATTTGCGAGAGGCATGTTTCCAGTGGACATATATTGGGCATAAATCCTTGGAGTATTATTTCTGTGCCCTGCCTTTCCTTGGAGAAGATTCTCAGGCTCAGAAACCATATTTCTTTTTGATCTTATAACCTTACTTCTCTACAGATAAAACGTATCACAGTTTAGAAAACTTCTAGATAATTATTATCCTCAAGAGACATGTAAGCAACACTAAGTCTTAGAAAAATGATGGGCTTGAGCTGAGACCTGGCTTAAATGCCTCCTTATACCACCTGTTGTAGGCATGGAGTTAAGTCATATAGAAACTCTGATTCACAATGTTTTCTTCCATAGAACTATGAGGGGAAAATGCCCTAACTTCCCAACCTATTTGGAGGAATGCTAGATATTAAATGACTGAGCAACATGCAAACCCAAGCTTATGTGTAATTCTCTTCCTGAGGCTAAGGATACTGAGACTCTGAGAAGCCCAATGGTTTAACGTCCCAGCTAATAAATTAAGAAACGTAAGTTACAAAAGGTCTTTAAATTATGAAAAGCACACATTGAATAGAGAAAGTAGTACACATACACACTGGAGAATGCTTAGCGAGAAGGAGGCAGTTTATCACTGATCATTCATCCCCATAACCTGTGGGTTCAGATTTTTAAAGACTTACTTATGCACGTTGGAAGACTGCTACTCCAACCAACAGCGTTTCCTTTAATCATACAAAAAGCAGAGGCTTCACCGGTTAATCTATACCTAGAGCAATAGGGGGAGAAAAATGTTTCTGTTACACTCACACATATTTGACTCATCTCAAATTCTCCAGAGCATCATCTTAAAATATTTACTATAACAGTAAAAGAAGACAAGAACAGTTGTGAAAAGCCCATGTAAGATTTAAAGGAATGGAAAAAATGTGTATAAAGATGAAATCCAAGTGGGTAAAGAAATAGAAGATATACAGAACAGCTTTTGATTTGCACAGGCACATGTCAGAAAAGATAAAAGTGTTAAAAACACTTTAAATAATAAAATTATTCACTATTTTATACTAGTTCTAAAAGATCAATACAGAACAACAAAATATATTTAAAGGGTCCAAAATACTTTCTAGATTTGATAGTAATGACCCAACCACTATCTGTGGAAAGAGCAAGAAGTAAAGAGAAAATATACTTTGATTTGCAAATATTAGACCAAGGGGCTGGGGATTTAGCTCAATGGCATAAGTGCCTGCCTTGCAAGCAGGCAGTCGTAAGTTCGATCCCCAGTACCGATAAAAAGGAAAAAGACAAAAAAAAAAAAAAAAAATTAGACCAAAAAAAAAAACATTTGTTAAGCTTCCAACTGTAAACCAGCCAGTGGTATAGGCCAATAATCCCAGTACTATGCAAGTCTAGCGCAGGACAATCCCAAGTTTGAGCCTCACCTTGGCAACTTAACAAAACTGTCTCAAAAGTATTGGAAAGGGGTAGGGGAATAGTTCAGTTCAAAAGTGCTTGGTTCAAGTACCACCACCAAAAAAAAAAAATCCAAATGTATTTAAGACACTGATGGTATGAAATGGGTGAATTCTTTTTCCTACTAGAAAACTATGCATTTTCATACTAAGAAATGTATCTAGGCCATAATGTCTAATAAAGTTTGTTTAAATGTGGAAAAACTCAAATTCATTATGTGTGTCAATTAAACTGTCTTCATATTTAACATTTTAAGGACTGTTATTTCTGTGAGTATCATCAGCAAATCAACTGCTTTGCTTTACTAATCAGATTTAAAAGTTTATGTTGAATCACATATATGAAATCTAAGATGTTAGAGAAGTCGGTGGTATAAAAGCTTCCCTTCCTGGCAGCGTGGTGGCTCATGCCTATAATCCCAGCACTCAGGAGGCTGAGGCAGGAGGATTGTTGCCAGTTCAAGACCAGCCTAGGGTACAATGTGAGCTCAAGGCCAGCCTGAGTTGCATAGAGAGATCCTGTTTCAAAAAAAAAAAGACCCCCCCCCAAAAAAAAAGCTTCCCTTTCTGACCTACTTTATTCCTGACCTACAGCTTTAAGAGATCATAATGAAAGATCTGCAGGAGAAAGATTTAGTTGCTAAAAGGCTGGAAACACTGCTCTTGAACAATTTCTATCTCAAAGCCTAATTTGCTTTCACATTTGTTAAATATAGTGTCAGTATAATAAAACTTACCCTGGGTCACACGAGAAGAAGATCTGAGAACCAAGTAATAGGTCAGTTGTTACATTGATATTACCATTTACTAGTTCTCCAGGATTAGGACACTGTTTTTCTAAAGAGAACGCAAAGTGTTTTTCATTAAATCAGACATGCACAAGGTTAGCTATGTGAAGTGGTGGATATGTTAACCAGATTGATGTGGTCACCATTTCACAATGTAAATGTATATTAAAGCATTGTGTATATCTTGTATGTACGCATATTTTAACATCTGTGTGTGCATGCACATGCGAGGTGCACGGAGGTGCGAGGTGACTGAACTCGGACCACCGTGTTTATGAAGCAGTCTTGGGCTCGGGCTATTATCTCCAGCCCAAGTCAGTATTTCTTAATTATTCTTCAATCAGCCTGGGAAACATTTTTTGTCAAAAATTATCAGGCTCATCAAGCAAATTCATTCTCTAAACCATTTATATTTCTCATCTTTCAACTTTAACTCAGCCTTCATTTTGCGAGGTTTCAAAAAGCCCAGTCTTAGAATAGATAGCCATTTTAGGTAACCTCAAACTAAACGTGAAATTTGAGAATAAGTATAGCAATCGCATAAACATTCAGTGTCTAATTTAAAACAAAATCACTTTCATCATTCTTTTAAGAATCGTCTAGGGGCTGGTGAAGTGGTTCAGTAGTCTAGCACTTGCCTAGCATACACAAAGCCCTGGGTTTACGACCCAGCAACAGAGAAAAATCATACATACCTAATAATAGGTACATGCAGAGTTGCACCCTGAACAAAGGAACAGGTAACTTTCCCCTCAAATATCAGGTTTTAAAAATTGTACTCACTTTCACAAAATTCCGCAGGAGTGGACCATGTTAAATCATCACGACAAGTTATTTTTCCCGATTGTATAGGATACTTTTTCCTATAGCCTGGCCGGCACTCATACTCCACAACGGTATCAACCGGGAAATAATTCTTACTGATATAAGCACTTTTGAGGATTGCATAAGGTAATCTGGGTGGAACCTCACAGCTACCTAAAAATATGAACAAAGGCAAAAACAAAAATGCAAGTTAAAGCCTACTTTACACATTGTTATTGGTGGCATCCCTATGTTCTATATTTAGGGTAGCTTCCATTGATTCCATTTGTTCAAAGGCAGGCAGAAACTCTTGTTTTTCTCTTTCCTTGGATACAGTGAGGCAGCACATGGTATTCCTGTCAGTGACAGACACATATACACTGGTGGTCCCAGCAGGCTGGGATAGAGCTGATGAACTCTTATTGGTCGGTGAGGCCATAAGTCATCGTGACATCACAGTACATTCATTACTCATGTGTTTGGAGGCTTTTGGTGGAAATATTTACACGGTGTGGCAGTGTTAGAAAGTACAGCATATACATTTGAGAATAGCTCATAATACTTGCTAATCATAAGATGCAACTATGTTACTGGTTTATTCATTTTCTATCCCATACTTCTCATTATTTTAGAGTGCACGCCTTTTACTTATTAAAAAAATGAGTTAGCGCAACCAGCCTGGGCAGCCTTTCAGGAGCTGTTCCAGGAGGAGGCATTGTTACCCTGGAGGACGGGGACTCCCTGCTTGGCCCTGGCTAGTAGGACAAGATGAGCAGTGAAAAACAGTGAATCTAAAGCACCTGACTCAAGATGGGGCTTAGATCCTAGGCTAATATGATTATTTCAATTTTTCAGAAAAGGTTTAAAAAGTTAAAAAATAATTTAAGTGAAATAGAAAGAAGCACACAAAGAAAAAATGTTTTTGTAGAGTTATTCAATGTATTTAATGCTATGTGTTACTATGTTAGCGTTTAAAAGGTAAATTAAATTGGACCTGATGGCTTATATTCCCAGCTACCGAGGAGCTGAGACAAGACAACTGCTTCAATGCAGGAATTGAAGGCCAGTTTGGGCAACTCAGCGAGTTCTGATTTCAAAAAGAAAATAATTTAAAAAGTTAAAGTTTAATTGTGATAAAAATCAGCCTGGTACTGGCAAAAAAATGGACATGAGGATCAATGGAACAGATTAGAAGATGCAAACACAACTACAAAGATATTCAGCCACCTGTTGTTTGACAAAGGGGCTAAACATGTTCGCTGGAAGGAGGCTAACCACTTTAATAAATGGTGTTGGGAAAAATTAGCTCTCCATATGCCCAACATTGATACTAGACCCATGCCTATTACCATGCACTAAACTAAAGGCAAAATGGATCAAAGATACAAATATTAAAAGAGTAACACTGAATCTACTAGAAGATAAGGTAGGTAAAAGTCTTGGAGACAGAGGGTAGGCAGAGAATTCATGAACAAAACACAAATGGCATGAGAAACACTTCAAGGAATCAACTGGGACCTCGTATTATTGAAAAGTTTTTGCACTTCAAAAGAAATCACTAACACAGTGAAAAGAAAACCCATAGAATGGGAAAAAATTTTAACCAAGCAACCCTTCAGACAAAAGACTTATATCCAAAACATACAAAGAATTAAAAAACATCAGCCCCCCCAATTCAAAGACCCTCTTCAACAATGGGCATCTGAAACGAATACACATTTCTCAGATGAAGGTATACGAATAGCAAATAAACACATGAAGAAACGTTCACCATCGCTGGTCACTCAAGAAATGTAAATTAAAACAGCACTGAGATTTCATCTCACTCCAGAAAGAATGCCTACATCAAGAAATCAACTGATAACAAATGTTGGCGAGGCTGCGGGGGTGGGGAGGGGGAACATTTCTTCACTGTTGGTGGGAGTGCAGACTGGTGCAGCCACTATAAAAATCAGTATGGAGATTCTTCAGAAGACAAGGATTGGAATTCCATTCAACCTAGCTATTTCCTTCCTGGGTATTTTCCCAGAAAAACTGAAAAAGGTCATGTCACAGTGACATATGTGTACCCATGTTTATAGCAGCACAATTTTTAATAGCTAAATCTTGGAAACAACCAAAATGCCCATCAACTGTAGAGTGGATGAAAAAGATGTGGTATTTTTTTATAATGGAATATTACTCAGCTATAAAAAGGATGATCTTGAGGCCTTTCTAGGTAAATGGAGGCAACTGGAAACTAACCTCATAAGTGAAATAAATAAGAATCATATTTATAAATATCCATTGTCCCTCTGGTATAAAAAGTAATTAAAAACTGTAGCAGTAATAAGATCCAAAATGTGTAATAGCTATTGTAAAAAAGAAAGGGAAGGAAAGTGCTTTAAAGAATATAACTGCATGTATGTTTAAGTGTATAAGACAGATAACCATATTACTAAAATTTTATTGGGTCATTGAACATAATGGTTTGCACTCTCATTGTCCACTTTCTATACTTTAATTTTGTGACTTGAACAACTGTTTCTAAGATGACAATAGGTAATTTATCAACTAGTGATTTCTTAGCGTTAATTCTTTTTGAAATTCTGTAATATTTCTACCCTTGTTTTGTTTTCTCTTTAAATAAAAAAGTTAAAGCTTAAAAAGTAAAGCTAATTTATTATTGAAGAAAGAAAATAATTTTTAATAAATTTAGAGAAGACTCAATGTGCAGTGTTTAAAAAGTCTACAGAGGTACACAGTAATGTCTTAGGCCTTCACATCCACCTCCTCCTCACTCACTGATACCCAGGGCAACTTTGGTTCTGCAACTTCCACTCATGGTTTTTATTTTTATTTATTTTTTTTAAGAGTAGGAAAATTTACCAGAGAAAAGGGATGGGGAACAGGAATAGCTCCTGAGAAACAGAAGGAGTCCTGAATGGGTTGCACTCTATTCATGGGTAAGAGCCCTACATTTTTTTTTTTTTTTTGTCTTTTACACCATATTTTTTACTATACATTTTCTATGATTAGAAACACCACTGTCTTACAGTTGCTCACAGTATTCAGGTCCACAGCCTGACAGCAGCTGAGTTCACCCCAAAGCTCAGGTGTGTAGCAGGCTGCACCATCAAGATCTGAGTTCAGATAACTGTAAAACTGCCTAAAAATGCACTCCTCGGAACATACTCCCATCATGAAGTGATGCATGCCTGAATCTCAAATCGGGGCTATCTATAGAATAAATCTTTAAGTAAATATAGAGTGCTTTTAAAGACATCACCAAACATTGTATTTGCAAAATCCTACTTTACCAAACGAAACCCAAGAAAACACAGCATTAGGAAGAAAGACTCCTAATGAAGAAACAGACCTGCCCTGGGGAGTAAGCCTTCAATTAGCTGGCAGGTGCACTGCCAGCATGGTATACAACCCTGGAGCTTAATAAGTTAGAAAACTATCAATTACCAGTCACTCCAAAGGGGTATAAAAATAACTCTCACAAGACACACCCCAGGCCTGCAACTTTTCTAAAAGAAAAGGCAGCACTTACGATTACAGAATTCTTCAATGTCTGTCCACCTGCTGGAGATGCAGACCACCGCGTCTGGCTTGCCTGGGATTTTGACAAAGCCTTGGTCACATGTGTACAACACCGTGGTGTTCTCAGGAAAACTCGTACTTCCTGCCGAGGCTGAGGCTGGGTGGGCACGTGGTACCACGGGGAGCGGGCCGCAGTCACCTAGGGAGCGAAGGGAAGGAATTGTGGCTTCTCCCCTCACTGTCACATTTTTTTCCCCTAAGACTTCCCAGGAGCAAAAGCTTTCCATCAGCCTGTTTCCACTCAGCCTGAACCAGCACCCCAACACTTGGCAGGCCTCCTGTCTTCTCCACTAAGTCAAGATTAAATTAAGTGGAGAGCAAATAAACCTCTCCCCTAAAAGAGTGGTTTAGGATTTACTGCATGTTTAGGTTGGGTTCCTTGCTAGGCTCAGGATAAAACACCGGGGCAAGCAGCGACCATGCCGGCCTCTGCGCCCAGGTGGGCTTGGGGGTGCTGCTCAGCTCCTCCGCCTCCCGCCCTTAAAAAGAATTTGCAGTGCGCAGTGAAGGGGTGGCAACTGTCACTCTGGGAGGGCCCGCTGGAAACTCAGCGCAGACTCCCCAACTCTCCACACCTGTCCCCGAAGCCGTGCAGCAGGCGTGCGGCGCAGCACGGGCCCCTCCCCTGCAGTCCCAGGATCGGGCCAGCGAGGACCGGAGCCCGCAAGCCAGAGAGCCGCGGGACCAGGGACGACCACGATCCTCCCGCCAGGTCCCCAGCACCCCGCGCACCCGCCCCGCCGCACCCGGGGCGCCCGCCCCACTCACCCTGCACCGCGGCTGCGCGCAGCAGGAGCAGCAGCGCGGGCGCCCGGAGGAGCAGCAGGCAGCGCAGCGCTGCGGGGCGGCCGCGTTTCATGGCGCGGGGACACCGAGCGAGGCACGGGGACGCGGCCACCCGCCGGCGAGGCCGCAGCTCGGCGCAGCAGCAGACGGCAGCAGGCCGGGCGGTTCCGGTCGCTACTTAACCCGCGCGGGGCGGGGCCGTGTCACAAAGGCGGGGCGAGCCGGTTCGGTCCGGCCCTGCGGGCCCAAGCCGGAGGGGCGGTGTCCAGGGCTTTCCTTCCGCGACCGGATGGGCCGGTCAGCCGGGTGGGCCCCGGGCGGCTTCGGAAGTAAACACGGCGGGCAGCCGCTGCAGGGCAGTCGCGGAGGCCGGGTGGGAGGCCAGGCCTCGGGGTTCAGAGGCCTGCGCGTACCCAGCGCCCTGGCCGAGGCCCAAGCGAGGCGGGGAGCGCCGGGCTGTGCCGGCCTCGGCCCCTCCCGAGTGTGGACACTGCCAGGAGGAGGCAACCCCCGAATCCGGCCTGGAGAGCCGCATGGCGGCCAGGAGAGCCGCATGGTGGGGCGCACCGTGGCCGAGAGGGCCGTTGGCCAGCTCTCTGTACCAAGCTGGGCTCCTGGGTTCCGATTCCGCGTTGTTCTAGGCGGGCTGCGGCGGGAATGCACCCTCCCGGGAAGTATGTGGTCCCCAGGCGGTAGGTTGTAAGAGGAAGGTGGGGTACAGAGCCTGAAGGATAGCCAATAATTTGCGAGGCTGGCCACTTGGACTCTCAAGGAAAGGTCGCTAAAAACTAGAGAACCAGGATCTCTTGAGGATGAAGCTGGGTGTTTGGGTTAAAGTCTTTTAAGTATGCAAACCAATTTGAGAAATCACAGATCTGTATGGACCTGCTATGGGCAGCTGAGGTAGTTAGAAATATTACAAGCAGTCAGCCCTCAAAGGAGCCAGTGCGGAAGTTAAGATACCTTGCAGCTTTGGAAGAGACAAACATTTCCTGCTGTGTAGGCCAGATCTGCAGGCAGAAGGCAAATACAACCATATCCTAAGGATTGATATTCAAAATAGTTCTCTATCACCCCAGAAGAAGTCAAGAGTCACCTTTCCAGCCCCCTACAGGAAGGGTCACTGCTGTTAAGCATGCCCACCTCCCCATGTGTTTCTGATTTAATCAATTTTACCTGACCACAGGTCTGCCCCACCTTATGCCCACCTTGTGAGTTCCCATTTTTCTTCATCTTGGACCCCTCTCACCCCATGATTTTACTCTATAAAAATCCATAAAAAAGACAGAGTCCCTGGCAACCTGCTTGGGACCCCTTCTGTCTCTCAGACAAAAGCCTTCTTTCAATAAATATGTTCTGCTCTTAACCTCCATTGTTCCTAAAATTCATTCTTTGCTTTTAGAGAACAAGAACTCATACTGGACATATTATAGTAGGTCAGGAGTTTCTTTCACCTATTTTAGTACCTGTCAAAGTAAAGATCTGGCCAGATCAACCCCTGGCCCTGTGGAAAACACTGTAAGACCCATGGAAAAGTAGGTTTCTTGTCTTCATGGGAACAAACCCAAGAATGTGTTTCCCTTCAATAGTCAGCCTGGGTCTGGTTACCAGAATCCTAGGTGAAATTTTCTATTAGCATCTTTAATCCCTTACTTGGAACTATGCCTTTAAAAAAAATTACAGAAAAAGTAAAACAAAATTTCCTAACATAATAGGAGAGTTAATACATTACATGTTATCTTTAAAGTAGTTGCTGAGGGTATAAGACATGAGCATAAAAATGTCTCCAATTCATGTTAGCACAAGTCTTCCTTTTTAATGAACTGAGACGCTAATACTATAGTTGACTCACATTTTTTCCCTTTTTCCTACTGTTCTTTCCACTTTCACCCATCCTAGTTCCTTTTTCCTTTTAAACAAATTCTTCCCATTTCACAATATTTATTATACATTTTAGAACTTTATTTACTTTTTCAGTTTCTCACACCGGGGAGAAACTACAGTGTTTACACATGTGGGAATTACACCCTCCTCAGTGGACCAGCCAGGGGAGTATTTGTGATGCTTTGCTGCCTGGACTCTGACAAACACCTTTCTACTGGTTAGTAGGAACTTCAGAAAGAGGAAACCGTTTTCAACAATGGTATTTTCTCCAGCTCATGCTTAGAGAGTCAAACCTATGTTGCGTGAGACAGGAATCGTTTCCATAGGGCTTCAGGAAAGGAATTCCTCTGGGCTGTCATGGAAGCTTACCTGAGTCAGACATTATAGAGAAGGCTTTAAAAGGCACTTCAAGTGACTATATGTGATATTAAAGTACCTTACTGTTACCCTCATTTTGGCTTTATCAGGGCCCAGCCATGTTTTAGAAGTGGTGCTGGTCCTTCATGTACTCCCCTCAGGGCCTCTGTCACCTTAACTGCCATCCCCCTCTTCCATGTCATTTTACACAGGCCCTTGGCATCTGCCTGGATGCTCCTGAAAGTTACTGGGGATCAAGACCAAGTAGGGAGCTTCCACACTCGGCACTGAGGCCCCACAGAGTGGAGTGTGTAAGCAGAGGCTGTGGGTTTTTTATCCAGATAAGACGGTGAGCTCAGCAAAGTGTCAAAATTTATCTCTGTTACCCAGCTTAGCTACACCGAAGAATGCCCCAAGAATTCACCTTCCAAAATACTTCATATCTGGTTCAAAAACAAATAAAGGAACTTGTGGAAGAAATAAGGGTATATTCTTAGGTGATACAGATAACTGCCCAAATAATTACAGTATTCTGAAGGAAAAGAAAAAGCAAAATCCATGATGCATTTACTCAGTTTGGAAAAGAGATCTATGCTAAAACATAAAGGTTATTACCAAAAAATCAAATCTGCAAATTTATAACATTATTTTAGTGAGTGGCTCCATTCATTGGGTCCCAGTCCTTTCATATGCATGCTGTCGCCAGCACAGCTCCATGAGGTGGAGATCCCTACCCATGTTTTGCAGATAAAACGGCCTGAGAGACTTTCTTTTTTTTTTTTTCTTTTCCTAACCAAAATTGGTGCATTTAACAAATGACCAGGCCAGAACCCAAACAATCTGCTTTGAATCTGAAACTCGTACTTGTTCCTTATCACACTATACTTTTTTGTGTTGCCATCAGTCAGCAAACGTTTTTTCTTTCTTTCTTTTTCATTTAGAGAAAAAAAAGCAAAACAGAAAATAAAGTAGAAATAACACAGAATTAAAAAAAAATAACTAAGAAATTACTAGTTGATAAATTACATATAGAAGTAGTTGTTCAAGTTACAAAATCAAAACATACAGTGTGGACAGACATTCAAACAATGTCAGCACAAACTATTCTGTAGTCACTATAACAAAAACTTAGTGTGGTTATCTATCTTGCACACTTATACATACAGTGATAGCCATTAAAACAAAGCTTTCTTCTATGTGGAGATGACTGACCTGGGTACTGGGAAGGGAACTTGGGAACTCAAGGGCATCTGATGTAGACAGAAGCTTCTAATCTTCATATCTGAGACATTAAAACCCGGAAATAGATTCCCAGCAGTCTTCTCCGTCCATTAGTGTCTTACAGTCAAATTGATTTAAAAGGTTTGGGACTGAAATCTCTATGGAGCATGCCAATTCCAAAATAAACTTAGGTAACAAGGTAAAAATAGAGACTATGGTCTATGATTTTGGCAGAGCAGGAGAACACAACCTCTCAGTCTCATCTCAATGACTAAATCAATGACTTCAGTCAACTGGGGAGCCCAGGGAAGGTGTCCATATTTGTATTCAAGGATCCATAATCTACTAGAGAGGTTTTCTGTGATAAACACTCTGAAAATGTCACAACAAAAGGCTCGGGAGCTTAGGGAGGAGCCTGGCCTGCTGGCTGACTGGGCTGTGTGACAGATGTGTCAGCGGATACAGCAAAAAGCATGGGAGATAAGGGTGTTATGTACAAAGGTCGTGACCAAGGAGAGGCCCAGCGATTTGAGACTCTCAGGAAGAAAGGCATTTGGCTGAAGGGGAGTAGGGGATACTGAATCGTAGTGGGGAAGACGAGGCCAAGACCCAGGGCCAAAGGAGGCTTGAGTGAGCCTAAAACAGAAGCGCTCTGCGGGTCTGTAGCCAGGAGCTACCGTGTTCTGTACAGGGTGCTGGCATGGGAAGTAAGGTGGAAGACTCAGTTTAGCTTACTATAGAACAACAAGGTGGTTAAGAGTAAGCAGAAATAGCTTTAATTTTAGTGGGGATATATATACTAGGGATTGAAACCCTTTGCACTGAGCTACCCTAGACTTTTTATTTATTTATTCATTTTTTGTTTTTGAGACAGGGTCTCATTATGTAGTCCAGGTTGCCCAGACTGATCTTGATCCTCAAGGTGATCCTCCTGCCTCAGCCTCACGAGTGCTAAGATTATAGGTATGTGCCACCATGCCTACCTATGACATTTTTTACGATTTTAACGGAACTCGGTAAGTTGCTAAATTGCCTACGTGGAGCCTAAATTTGCTATACTTCTGCCTCAACCTCCCAGAGTGTGGGATTGCAGAGATGTGCCGTTATCTAATTTTAATTTTTAAAATAGGCTTTGGGGTGGGGGTATGGTTTGTTGGCAGAGGGTTTTCCTAACATGTACAAGGCCCTGGGTTTGATCCCCAACACTTCTAAGCAAACAGATCTGCATTAAGGAAGCTGTCCTGATATCACGAAATGCAAATGAAACTCTGACACTGTTATCATGACCTTTGGGTTTTCATTCCTACTTTGAACTAAGAAGTTTCCAGAGAAGAACTAATAGATAAGAAATAAAATTTAGTGCCTGAAAGGAACTAAAAACAAGCTCTGAGATGACTCAAAAGTCTGAAGCCTGTGAGATGAGTTCCTTTTGAGAGAACTGTCTCATAGGGGAGAAATAACACATTTGGCTTCATACCGGCTGCATGGGGAAGTCCTCAGCAGGGGTCTGCGCGGAGATGCAGGGAGAAGGAAGTTTAAACAGGATCTTGTAGATCAGTGGAGGGGCTGAAGGAGAGGAGAGACGCCCAAGGGGGAGCCCTGGGGAAGCCCCGCATTTGAGAGTGTAAAGAGTCAAGGAAAAGAAGCCAGCGAAAGTGCAACTTTCTGAAAGCCAAAAATACTGAGCTCTGAACCAAATACCCTTGTCATTGTTGGTGAGGC